CATAAAAGGTCTTTTCCAACTTCAAAACAAAACCACTACTCAGCACTAAACTGCACGTCCCAATGGCTTCCACAGGCGAACGCATCCGACTACCGGAATAGATGAACTGTTCACTTCCCATTGGTTTCCTTAGGCTTTCCATACCCTGCAAGGTATTGGAAACATGGATTGTAGAACCATAATCAATCCACCATGTGTTATAATTAATATTAACCATATTGGATTCATAACAGACAAATGCAGAAGGGATACCTTTCTTTTCGAGCCAGGTTTTGAACTTAATGCAGTCCTTCTTCATGTGTCCTTTCTTTTTACAGAAAAAACACGTAGACTCCTTCTTTATAACCCGCTCAGCTGGCACAGGTCCCTTCCCCTTTGTATCATGCTTTCTCTTTTTGCCATGGACCGTTAAGTTTACTTTCTCACCTTCCTCCATCAGTAGTCTCTCCTCCTCTTGAACACACATGGTCATCAATTCATTAATGGACCATTTATCTTTATGTGTGTTATAGGATATCTTAAATGGACCGTACTGATGAGGTAAAGTGCACAATATGTAATGGACAAGAAAGGTCTCAGACATGGTCACCTCTAAGCTTTTCAGCTGCACCGCAATGTCCCGCATGCGCATTATGTGCTCGCGCACACCCCTCACACCCGTGAACCTCATGGTGGAGAACTGAATGATCAATGTGCTGGCAAGAGCCTTATCAGACTTGACGAATTGTTCATCAATAGCCTTCAAAAGCTCTCTAACATTATCATGTTGATCGACAGACGCACGGATACCAGCAGAGATCTTAGTCTTTATGAGCATCATGGAAAGACGGTTAGATCTCTCACATCGCTCATAAAGATCCACATCATCTGGCTCGCTGGTTTCAGTAATAACCGGCGGCTCGTCTTTCCGTATAGCATAATCAATGTCCATCCAGCCTAAATGAAGGAGAATCCTCTCCTTCCAGATCTTATAATTATCACCAGTCAATTCAGGAATATCACATTTAATGTCAGAGAAATTCATAGGATGAAATGCTGCAAAATTAAACATACATGCTCATCAATAATCGAGACAAATAAGTTACATGTTCTACCAATGTAAACACGTTAAAACATGAATCTAGAGACATAAAACTTGCGTGTGGGCTAAAGTTTTACTCAATTAGATTTCATCAAAAACTTTACAATAAAACTATCAAATTGTGTTCCTTTTCTCAATTCCTGTGGGTAGATTAAGAAATACAACTCGATATTTTATCCTAATTACTCGTACAAATATAACGAGACTCCTGTGGGTAGATCTCATCACATCGTACATGATAATCACAATTGATGTCCATTAATGTGATTTCAAATAAATCATGAATAAAATTTTAATTAATCGAGGATGCTGTGGCTATTCCGCAATTAAATAAAATTTAAAATAAATCACAAACATCATGAATATATAAACTGAAGTTCACATAAATAAATCAGATTTATACCATCAGCATGCTCCAATTAAGAATGTAGTGCAGATATATGCAAAATAATAATAATAATAATAATTCAGCATGCCTTATCATCAAAGTAATATTAAGTATAATAATAATAATAATAGTACTGCATGCCTTTAGTTGAAATAAGATACTGATCAGGAACAAGTCTAATATTTCATGACTGCACATATATTTACTCATATATAAACATGTTTGTAAGCACGCAGATCGAGAGACATGCAAGTGTTGCTTTCATTAAATATTGATTAACTTATTTCATGTTGATGAATCCAAATACATACATGGACCCTATTTGATTGACGGCGACAGACTATCGGGATCAAATAATTTCGTTGATCAAATTCATGCAGCGACAAGATTAATCTATCCAATCATATATATATGTATCTTAATTATTAAATACGGAATGAAATTTTCTCATATCGCAGGATCGGATTTTGATCAAGAAAATATCGCAAAGTAATTTGAAAATAAAAAAAAATATTTCCAAATAAAAATTAAAGTGAATCTTGATCAAGAATTTGACGAGAAGAAAATTCAAAGCAAAGCAGAGGCAAAAAACGCTCTGATACCAAATGTAAGAAAATAAACATATAATCAAATATGTTAGCGGAAGCACAATTTAAACAAACCTCCTGCCATTGCTAAAAATTAGATTTATTCTCGATATTCTCTTCTCCAAGCAAAACGTGGATTGGAAGCGTGGAAGACGGTGTTGTCAGACTTTGGAACCTTTGGGAGGATGTTGCCAAACTTTGAAAACCTCCGAAGATAGTGCCAGATCGTGGAAGCCTAGGATGATGTTGCCAAACCCTGGCTCTCAAATAGCGATGGTGTATTCTAATTTTCTGAGAGTAGGTTTAGTAACCCGTATGTGAGAGTATTTATAATTAAAAGAAAAACCGTTCATCACGATTTTTCTGCCACTTCTCACGTATATTTTGAATGTGATAGACTTAATGGGAGAAAAGTGGGCCACAATTTTAGGTTAGTTTAATTATATAAGATAATTAAAAAATAATCAAAATTCAAATATGATTAATTAATTAATTAAACTAACAAATTATTCAATTGATTATGGATTATTAACTCAACTTAAATACCTGGACACAATACTAGATCAAGAAAATAAACCTAAGCATGCTACAGAGAAATTTTACAAATACCAAAGAAGTCAATAGAAATTATGAATTGAAGAATCAATCTTATGAAACTATGGAGTTCAAATCGTCAATCGATCATTGGACTAGATAAGCAACATAGCTACACATTAAAAAAAAAAAAGGAAAAAAAAAGGAAGATAAATATGTATCTTGGTGAAGTTCTTTTGTGTCGGGATCTTGTCAGTTCATCGTCTTCTCTAGGAATGCAATGCCGTGATGCTGCCCTCCAAAATCTGTTCTTCGTGCCTCTCTCTCCATGTCCAAATCTATCTAGGGTTGTCTCTGCACCTCCTTGTTTTGTTTAAGATGTTTGGATCTCTTCTTAAATCGGTCCGCCCATATATTTCTTGGTTTGCTTTTTCGGTAGACAAAGTTAGCTTGGGTAAATAACTTCTCCACATGTTTTGGGCCTCCAAAATATGGTGGTCTTGATTTAAGATGTTGTGAGAGTGATTTCGTCATGTCCAAGCTAAGATGAATGATCCAATTCATATTTTCACAATTTAAATCAAGATTTCAGACAGTTTTGGCTACTCTTAGTCATATGTATGACTAAACAGCACGTTTTACTCTATGTTCGTATTTTGACTTATGTTGCATGTTCTCTTTGAATATCACCAAAAATAGCATAAAATCAGTAGAAATCTATCGAAAGCATCAATATATACATATCAAAACCGCATGCAAAATATAATCTATCAATGTACGTACTAGATATTGCAGATGCTACCATATTGTTGGTGGTATGGGCCAAACCTGAATTTGATGTAAATTTTTTTGGCATAGTTTGTAGTTGTATATGTGGTCATATTATTAATTCGTAGTACTTGTTAAGTAAAGGAAAGCTATTCTTTTTTTTTTCCAGCCTTTTTGAAATATATTCGACTAATCTTGTTATGTATAAACCACTATAGATGTTTTCCCTTAATACTATTTTTCATTCATAAACTGTTCTCCAAAATGGTATATTATTTCTATGATAACGATATGTTTTGATATATATTTATATAGGTGATATATTAGTAATAGTTAAAGTGTTTGTCACGGTTGTCACGATTTCGGAGACCCCACTTATTTTTTTTTTGATCAGAAAGATCAATGATTTATAGATATATATATATATATATATAATAAATAATAGGTATAGAAGTAAATACTAGAGCATAGACCGTCAGTGAGATAGTCCATGTCGATTCCATCGAGTGGATGTATAAAGATATACGTAATTCTTATATAAATTTTTAGATATACTAATTTATTTATTTTGCAAATAAATTCTTATACAAATTTTTAGATGGCATTCAATACTTGACTAAACCAGTAGCTCAAGTGATGATTCATTGTAACAACCGAGTTGTGATAGGGCTAATAACGGAATTTATAATGTAAATTCTGACATATCCGACGTAGACACAACACTATAAAATATTTGATCACGAGTAGGATTATGAATGTTTACTATATAAAGTAAATAGAAAACTTAGCAAAGTTACTGACCAAGGGGTTATGGAAAGGTCAAATATACAAATTGTTAAAAGGAATGAGTCAAAAATCAACATAATAGAAACGATTACAGTATGCACCGAACTAGATCACTTGGGGATCCTATTATACTTTGTAATATTTACTATAGAACGTTCAAAGTCACAAGGTATCTGTCATAATTGTGTCAAAGTCCCTATGGAAATAATTTGTGCTTTCGTCCTGATTATGGGTATTTTTACTCGCGACTCAAATAAGGGTCAACTATTTTTTAATCTCATATTTGACCTTCTTTATTATTTTAGAATTTTAAATGGATAATGTTCAAAAATAATCCAGCAAATAAAAAATCGATTGATAAAAGTCAGATATGAGATTAAAAAAATATTTAATCCTTTAACTAATTGAAGAAATTTAGTTTATAGAAAATTAAATTTGAAATATTTTAAAATTGATTTTTAAACTCATTGGGCTGAACATGTGAATTAATTCAAAATTTCTCAATTATTTTGGACTTGAAATTATTTACTTTTGGGCTGATTAAGGTGACAAAAAGTGTGCATATATAAAGGACCCCTTTCTTCATTTTCATACACACCAACTGGAACACTTGAGCTAGCTCTTCCTCCTCTTTTGTCTCAAATCCTTCTGGCCATTTTCAATTGTCTGGCAAAGCTTCATTCCTTCCTCATTCTTATACGTCAGAGCTATGACAACTTAATGTGTCATTTTCATTGAAGATGAAAATTATTTTATCTTTTGTACACACTGCCGGAACATATCTAATTTGGAGTGATTTCTCGACTAAATTTCAAGATTAAATTTCATTTTATTTATTCTCGAAATATTATTATTTTAACATATACTATGTAAAACCTTGTGTTGAGTTAGCCGAGAGCCAACCTGTTCTTCTCTGTAAGGAGTTCAAAGGCCAGAAATAAATTTTCCAGGCCAACAAATTCTATTACAGATCATTTGGCATCTAATTAATTAATGTAAATCAAAGAGACCTAGCTAGCTCGTTCAAGGAGATGAAAGCTACAGCATGAATTAAACTCCCGATTATAAGTACAATGACTTAACTGACTGACTGTCCGACAACAAATTAAGGCATGCATGTGCAATAAGTTGACAGCACGCACAAGGACGACATACATACATAGATACAACATTAATTACAATAATTAATAATCATGTGATAGAGAATGGGCAAATGAAGTATTAGGTAGCGTTGAGGAAGCGACGAAGATGGCGGAGAAGGTGTTGGGTGGCGGGGGAGAATGGGGAAGTGAGGTAGAAGCCGTGCTGCTGCCCTGGGAACTCCACGTACTCTTTGTCGTTGTCTTTGTCTTTGTCTTTGTCTTTGAGTAGTTCTAGGGTCTTGTAATAGTTATGGATTCTGTCCCGCATCACTTCGCGCTCCCCGACCACAACCAGCATCCGGCTGCTCGACAGCAATAAGCTTCCGCTGCCGCCGCTCGATGGGTTCGCCAGCGGATGATCCGCCGTCTCTCCTTCTGGCAGCGACAGTCTCCAGAACCTACGTACCTCATCATCGACTTAAATTATTACTTGCATCATGTATCTATATATGTAATGTAAGAACTCATTAGTAACTGCCTGCCACCTACTATTTCATGCATCTTACATATAATTTCTTAATATTATATACTCCTTGTCCAAATTTATTTATACTTTCTTGTCATCCAAACTTATTGCAGTTTTCCTTTTTTTAAGTAAAAGAATATAGCTTCTTTTACTTTCTTTTTCGGGTTTGGATCAAATGTTAGAATTCATTCATTCAGCACAGGTGCTGCTGATAACATAAAATTCTAATTACTCTAAGTAATATATATTAAATAAATAATTAATATAATTATAAATAATATGTGTTTAAGTGTCAGCATGGGTTCTGAATTTTTTAAGTTCAGCCTTTGATCTATACTGTTTTTTTTTTTTATTATTATAAAGAAAAAAAACTTTATTTTTATCTACTTTTTATTTTAAACTCGTGCATGCGTCCAGTCAAATGGACATAAATTTACACAACGGGATAATCTTTATATATATATATATATGTATGTATATATGATTTTTTGTGACCAATTAAACATCAATACACCAAAAGTAAGTTCAGAATTAGACATGCAAAAAGTTCTAGAATATGCTGGGAATCTCTCTCTCTCTCTCTCTCTCTATCTATATTTGTATATTTATGTAAGTGGCCCGCAAGAGAAGATAGAAATACCCGGAGAGAGTGTGTGCGTTGAGAGCTTTAGAAGAAAAAGCAGTAATCCGCGTCGTTATCAATAGAAAGAAGTGCGGCATGAATTTGCAATATATAATATTAACATATGGTTTTAGAAATTCTTTTGTCGAACTTAATAGATTTACGAACTATCGCTACAAAAATATAATATATTTGTAACGGAATTCCGTCTCTAAAGTTCACGTAGCTAACGTAATTCCATTCTTATTTCCGTCTCTAATGTCATTAGTAACGGAAAAAATAGATTTAGAGACAAAAAAAAATTTTGTTACAAAAATAATTTTTTCTTTGTAGTGTATATGTGACAGATAAAATTTAAAAATATTAAAATTTTAATCTATGACCTCACGATTATAAGTTCATCTCCACACCACCGTATTATCCGGGACGGGACCTATATATCTCTTCAATCACAAATTATTAATTAAAATTTTATGTAGGTGCATAGCAATAGTCGATTAGATATGGAGAGAATCGGAGCTACCTACCATTAGTAAAATAAATATAAAAATATTTTTAATAATAAGTATAATAAAGCAAAAAATAAATGTAACCCTTATAAGCCGATAAAAAAATATTAAGGTTTTTCTTTTTTCCTAACATATTTTTAATTCAAACCAAAGACCGAGCTACGACTAACCCAGTCCAGTTGAATCCACTCTCTCATCTTTTTACATTAATATAATATTGTCCATTTTGATTCTAGTATGCACAATTTTATTTTTAAATTTTTTTTAAAAAAATTGTACTATGTGGAATTAGATATAAGTTATAACCAATAATTATTTATTTTTATGTAGGAATTAATTTTGTCCTTACAATTTTGAAGATCCTCAATGGATTGATTGAAGACTAATTCCACAATCTCCTACAGCCACAAATGAATTAAGAAAAGATCGAAGCTTGTAACAATGATATGTATAATTGTGTGTGTAGCTGAGCTTTCTTGATAGGGATAAATGATGATATGTATAATCGTTAGTGTGTGTGCGCGCAGCTATCTAAGCCTTTATTTTTTTATTTTTTTATTTTTGTAACGAGGGTCTTGATTGACTTTTTATTCGAATCTAATACTTTTTTTGTCTCATAACAAAATATTTATTTACTTTTTGTACGTAATTTTAAAAATATTAGTATTATATTTGAATGTATTGGGAATAAAGTAGAAATGATTAAAATGATATAAAGGTAATGATACTTGTGTAATATATTGTAAGTTATAAGGATATTTGTAATGTTAGGTAGATAGTACAGTTACTAAAAAAATTTTGATACTTTGTTACGGGACGGACTAAAATGAAAAAATAGATACTTTGTTATGGGACGGAGGGAGTACTAGTTTGTAAATTAGATTCAATGAAATAATTCAGACGAATCATGTATAACAGACGATAGGGTTGGGTATGGTATGGGTATTTGCAAATATGCAAGTATTTGATATCCGAATCGAATCGAACAAATATCCGAAACTGCGAATCGTATCCGAATCAAATTTTTGGTTAATCGAAAATATTTTGCAATATTTGAAAATAATTCAAACCGAACCGAAATTAAAATGTATATATTAAAAAATAATTAAATTTCTAATTGAATAAAAATATTTGCAAATATTTCAAATGTCCGAACTGAAACCGAACCGAATATAATTATTAATATAAATTTTGAAAAATAATAATATAAACATATAAAAATATTCGATTCGATTAACTGAAACAAATAAATATCAAATATGCAGTATTTATAGTCGAACCGAATTTGCTCGGTTAACTGAAACTTCAATTCAGTTCTGCGGTTCGACGGTTCAATTCGATTTTTTTGCCAACCCCTAAAAAACAAAATCAATAAATACCAAAAAAATTTAAATCTATAATCTCCCGGCTACGAGTACTATTCCTTTGCGGACAGCTGAGCTTTCTTGATAGAGATAAGTTTGGAGTGAATAAGGTGCACACTAATTAATCTGAATTCCCACTCAGCTAGCTTTTTTATGTGTCACTATCCCCATAAAGTCATTATCACCAACGATTCCGAATCCATCACTTCCTTCTCTTTTCATCTACCACTAATATTTATTTTTATTGTTCATTCTTTCGCAATTTCTCTCTTTTTTTTTTTCTTTTTTTTTTTTTTTAACGTGGGAAATTGCCGTTGCTACCCGAAAGTGTGTAAGTAAACTCTCGGTCGAACCTAATACCCTGCAAATTAGGTCTGACAGGCAAGTCACACTAGGCGAACCATGTGTAACAGGTGACTTAAAGCGTCGGGAGTTTGAACCCATGACCTCACGGTCACACGTCCAATCCCCAAACCATCAGGTCATCCCTTGCGGAACCATTTTTTAGTTATATATCTCTCAGCCCTATAACATTTGATATGTTTGGATTGGATAATAGAATTTAAAGAGAGATAATAATATTGACTTAGAGCATAGGTTAATTACAAGTAATTTTTTTTTTTCATTAATTTTTCAGTTTTTATTATAATCAGATTTGTTACCTCTATTATATTGATAAATATAGTTAACACTCATATATTATCTTTACGAAAAAAAATCATTACTTCTACGAAAATAATAATAAAATAATTATCTAATTAATTATAATCTCAAATTTGAAATTTAAAATTTTAAATATAGTTAACACTCATATATTATCTTTACGAAAAATTCATTATTTCTACGAAAATAATAATAAAATAACTATCTAATTAATTATAATCTCAATTTTGAAATTTAAAATTTTAAAATTTTTAATTTATCAATAATTTATCAATACAAATACAAATTTAAATTTATTTCAAAAAACCACAACTCACCTGTATATTTTTCAAATCATTTGATGAAGATAATAGATTAATGTGATGATGCTAAAACGGGTATTAAAATATGTAATTTTGAGTTTTGATGTGACTATGACATGAATGTAAAAGATAAAAAAGATAATGCAATACACACACCGACTACAACAGATGCTCTTATGACATTTTTATTTTTTATATGAATTGCATTATTGATAATTTAAAAATAAATATTAATATATAATTAATAAAATAGAATATGTAGTTAAATCTATATTATAATAAATATATATATTATATAAATATCATATTGTAAAAAATAAAATTTTATATAATATAAATAAATAAAAATATATTTATATATTTATAAGTAATATAAACTAATTTTATAAAAAAATAAGAAGTTTCTAATATAGATAAAAAAATATATATATATACTTATTTATTGAGAAATGAGATACAAATAGAAGAATTTTGAGTTGTCTAGATAATGTATATTGTTATATGTTATAAAATTAATTAAATTAATCTATATTTATTAAATATATTTTTAATTAGTTTAATTTATTGAAAAAATATCTCAACAGTCTGTTATGAACAAAAAAAAAAAAAAAAATCTTCAAATCAACACTATAAACAAACAAACCCAACCATATCAAGAGTAAAGTTATCAAGGGTTGTAAAAATACAAAAGCTACCCACAAAATCAAAGCCAGATATAGGAATTTGTCATAAGATCAAGAATGACCTATACATTGTGTTACACATAATATTATACTTTCCAATTTTTTAATTTCTAAATTCAACTTAAAATATACCTCTATCCCAAACAAATTATCTGAAAAAAAAAAAATACTATATTTGTATTTCTTTTATTATGAAAGATGAAAAGTAAAAATTCATATTAAAATGTATGTCAAAAATACAATAATACAATCAAATATTAGAAGAAGTAATTTTTATTTTTATTTTTACTTTATTTTATTTTATTTTATATATATAATATCAAAAGTAAAGATTCTGCCTAGTTTGGCATCTCAATCCCAATTGGCAATAGACTTGTATTTTTTTATTATTATTTTTTAAAGTATTACATTGTAGGGAATCCATTTAAAATTTATTCTAAATATTTTTTTTCTATCTCTCGGTTGAATTACTAAATACTTCATCCGTCCCAAAATAACAGTCTCATTTCCACTTTTATAACAACCTTCATACATTTTTACAAAACTATCCCTTGTCACAAAAATTATATAAAGTAGAGACATTTTAGTTTTTAAAAATATTTTTACACCCGCTATGAACATAGTATTATTATTTGTTAATTCTCATATCTGTCCATATTGTCTTGAACGGAGGAAGTATATTTATATATTCAAAACTTTTCATTTATTTGTAAAATATTTTATGCTAATTATAAATAAATATTTTTATTTTTATTTATTCATATTATACAAAATTTTATTTTTTAAAAAATAACATTCATATTTATATATTTTATTAAAATAATTAAACATATATTTTAAAGTTTTTAATATTATATATTACATTATAGATAAAATATTAATTAAATAAATTATTCTCAATGCAACATCTTTAATTCAAAAATTTAAAACCACAACTCAAAAACTTAACGAGTAACCAAACGCACCTTAACTTATTGTTTAAACTTAAACCTAAAACAAATTAGAGAATCAAACAAAACAAAACAAATCCTAAAGTTGTTTGGTTGTCCTTTGAAAATCATTTGAATTAAAGTGTTATATTTGAATTTATGTTTAAATAGTACTCCCTCCGTCTCAAACAAGGTGCAATATTTATTTTAGACACAGGTTTTTAGGTGGGTAGTATTAAGTAAGATAATCTAGAAATTAAGTGACGTGGGATAAAGTGTGATGTAGAAATTAAGTATAATTAATTATTTCTTAATTTGGAGAACATACAAAAAAGAAATATTGCAGGGTGTTTGAGACGGAGGGAGTATTATTTATTTGATATTTTTTAAAAAAATATATCAAATAAATAATATTAATTTCAATTTAAAATCACATCTAAACACGCCGCTAAATCATCAACATTAATTTAATGGGATTACTATCACCAAACAATTCCCATGCATGCGAATGCGCGCACAGACACATGCATATTATATATTATAATAGTATTAAATTTGGACGTAAAATCAAAATAAAAAATAATTAAAGTTTACCTGTCAAGAATATCCAAATTGAGGAAGTCTTCTGGCGGTCCTGCTTCAGACTTTGTTCTCACAGTCCCGCCGAAAAAGGGGGCCATCAGAACGTACCCACGGATCCGGACCGGGTGCAGAACCGGAGACCCGGACCCGAACTCCAGAGCCAGTTGGTGGGCCAGGTTCCCGCCAGAGGAATCGCCGATTACAATGACACGGTCAAAATCCACCAATCCGTCCCGCAGCCACTCATCGGCGCCGCTGCCGAGGAGGGCCTGAATTTGAAGCCACTTAACGGCGGTCAACGCGTCCTCCACGGCGGCCGGGAGCCTGTGCTCCGGGGCTAGGCGATAGTCCGGCGCCACCACCATCACTTGCAGCACGGAGGCGAGGCGGAGGCAGAAGTTGTGGCAGTTGGGCCAGGTCCGGGAGCCGACGCAGAAACCCCCGCCGTGGAAGAAGTAGAGAACCGGGAGCTTCGGCGGCGCCGGAGGTCCGGCAGCAGTTGCTGGCCTGTAGAGGCGGAGGTGGAGGCTGTTCTTCTTGTCGTACGGACAGTCCTTCCACACGGCGGAGCCGTCGTCCTGGACCTTCATCGGGAAGTTGATATCGTTGTCGTGGCACCGGGAAATGGAGCCGTCGCTGAACACCTGGACAATTCCAAGGCAGTCTTCCACTATACGAGGAGGGACAGACCCCATTAATTATTAATCGATCTATCTTTCTGAAATTGAATTTGTGGAAACAAATGAAGACAGCCGGGCCATTAAATAGGCTACCCTATGGGCAGGCTAGGCACGGTTCGGATATTTATAAATATACAGGTATTTGATATCCGAACTGAATTAAACAAATATTTGAAACCATGAACCATATTTGAATTGAAAATTTCGGTTAACCGAAAATATTTGCAATATTTGCAAATAATTCGAACCGAACCGAAATTAAAAAATAATATATTAAAAAATAATTAAAATTCTAATTAAATCAAAATATTTGCAAATATTTCAAATATTCGAACCGAAACCGAACCGTAACCGAACCGAAACCGAATCGAATATAATTATTAATATAAATTTTAAAATATAATAACAAATATATAAATATATTCGGTTCGGTTAACCAAACCGAAAAAAAATATCAAAAATCGAAACCGAACCGAACCGAGCAAATATCAAATATGCAGTATTTGTATTCGAACCGAATTTACTCAATTAACCGAAAATTCGGTTCGATTCAGTTCGGTTCAACGGTTCGACGGTTCGGTTCGATTTTTTTTCCCACCCCTAAGCTACTCCATGAACCTCTCTACAATATCATTTCGTTTCGAATTGTTTTTGTGTCGCCTTAAGTATTAGGTATAAAAAAAAAACGTCAATTCCAAACCCTAAATATGAATGTCATACCGTCAATTCAACACTAAAATGATATTGTCTGTTTTGAGTACTACACATGATTGTTCCTGACTTTCGAAGAGATGGGCGAAATAAAAGTTAGGGCTATTAAATATATATATATATAATATTTTTTATCTATAATAAAATATAAATAAAAAAATATATATTTTTTCTAGCATAATTTAGTTTCGAAACTTAGTATAAATTTTTCATATACTTTAAAAATTGCATAACGCTTCGTTATATTCTAACAAACGCTATATGAAACCTTCGTCATGCAAAAAAGTATAAATGAAAAGTCATCTTCTCATGACAAAAAAAATATAAAAATGAGTTTCATGGAACATTTTTAAAGTATAATGGAGTTTATGTCATTTTTAAAGTATATAAAGGATTTACAGTGACTTTCGAAATTATAAAAGAGTTATTGTTAATTTTGTCTAATAATAATAATAATAATAATTTTATCTAATATTTATTATCCTTTTTGTGCAAAAAAAAATAATTAAAATAAAAATAAAAGACCCCTAAATATATATAAATGATCTACTTTTTTTTTTACCAATAATAGAATATAAATTATTAAATAAAATAATTTTTTTTTAGAGTTTTTATATAACATATCAATAATAGTATTAATATTAACAATCTTAAAATAAAAATTAGGGGCCTAAATATGAATAAATAATATATCTTTTATCTATAAAAAAAATATAAATAATTAAATAAAATAAATTTCCAAATATTTTTATATGCAAATTATCAATAATACTATTAATATTAACTTAGTCTAATTTTTTCAGCTACTTGGATTTGAACCCAAAACCTAAAAATTAATATAAATAGAAATTAACTACCAAGCCATACTCTTTTATTAATATATTAATGTCAAATAGTGTTTATATATATATTTATATATATGTGTGTTTTATATAATATAAATAAATAAAGGGCCCTGGGCGGGCTCCCTTCGCCCGGGCCCAGGGACGGCTTTGTTACTGCAAAAAATCCCGTACTAGTAGAGTTCATTTGAAACTTAGGTGTTGAATTTTTTTCATAATTTCCAATATGAAACTTGGGTTTGCACCTCAAAATTCCTTCATTCAAACCAATGGTCAACCTATGGACCCTTCCTACCCGTGTACCGCTTATTACAAAGGGACCCGCTGCTTGACGAATAACAACTGCCGGGATCGACCCAACGGCAGAAGACTTTCGACACAAGGCACATCCGCCGGTCACAAGGGTGAACCCACCACGACAACCAATTTCCAATGCTACCCAGTCCACTTTGCTAAGGAACCGGGCTCTGATACCACCGTTGGGAGTGACTCAACTCAAACACTAGTATGATATTATCCGCTTTGGGCTGAGCCACACAAATTTATTTTTGGACTTCCTCCAAAAAACCTATAGTAGCGGAGTGCGTACACAATTTGAATAAACCTCAAGGACATGACATAAAACATATCTGAAATTTTAAAATATTAAAACTTATCTAAAAAATAAGGGTAAATTATATAACACTCCCTTGTGTTTTAGTAAAAATGTACAAAAACACCATGTGTTTTATTTATTGCGTGAAATCCCCTTGTGTTAATGTAAAGTTTGCACGAAACACCCTTCTTGTCCAAAACTGATATTTAGTTCTAAATAAATACCTAAATTACGCAACTTTTATACAAATAAAAAATGCAAAATATCTTAAATAATTTTTTTGCATTAAATAAATAAATAAATAATTTATTAATCATTCATTTTATAGTTTTTGGAGACATATTGTTGTCTGGTTTTTATAAAAATTATAAAAATAAATGATTGATCAATTATTTATTTATTTTATTCCAAAAAAATATTTAAAATATTTTACGTTTTTTATTTATATAAAACTTACGTAATTTAGGTCTTTATTTCGAACTAAACATCAGTTTTGGACAAGGACGGTGTTTCATGCAAACTTTCAATTAGCACAAGAGAATTTCACGCAATAAATAAAACAAACGGTATTTTGTGCATTTTTAGTAAAATATAAGGATGTGTTATATAATTCACCTAAAAAAATAACGATGCCAAACATATCCGAAAATCTAATTTTATTTTTTTATAATTAGTATAGTGTTTATTTATTATAATTTTAATCCTTTTTATACTATTTTATTTTGTAATATATTATAATTTAAAAATAACTAAAATTAGAGTGGTTTTAGATTTCGTGCTATTTCGGATTACTAAGTCAATTCGAAATTTCATCTAATCCAACCTTTGAATCAATCCGATTTTATTTAAAAATAAAATAAAATTCGAAACACCCAAATCTGAACTACAAAATTCTCAAGTCGAATCGTTTGGATTTTTCAGTCTTTGTTCAATTTTGATATCACTACTACTTCACTCACATCACACCGGTACATATAAATCCACGCCGTGTGGGCCCCATCCTCACGCCACTGTACCAACAGTGCGGATCAATCCGGTCAGAGCCGCCACGTCAACGTTTGTGGTAAGGCAAATACCAATATAGTATTAAAGTTCATAATGACGTAATCAGATTCATATCTTGAATCCACCAATAGCAGCAATTGCTGTGATTAATTAAGAAATGACTTAGGGTTTGTTTGTTTGGTGTTTTTTTTTAGATGCTCAATTCGTCTGCATCTAAGTGTCACATTTACCTTTTGAGTCATTATACTTGACATTAAAAATATTTTTATATTTATATAATTTTTTTGTACAAATATCTTTCTATTAGTATTATAAGACACTAATTAAAGTATTTTTACAATTTTTTTTTAAAAATTTGTATTACGTTTTGATGTACTAATTAATATTCAAATATTAACACGCAAAAAGTAAATAGGATCCTTAGAGCTAGACGGATATAATATATTTTTTTATAAAAAGTATAAAAAATTATGTAAATAATACAAAAATAATATTTTTTTAATTTTTTTTAAAAATATAAAATATATATTGAAGATTGCATAAAATATATATATATATATATATATATACTAGAAGAACAAACCTTTATTTTCATGAATAGTCCAATAAGAATATGATAAAATGATAGAGGAATTGTTATGTATGAAATACCGGGTTTGGTTTAACTTTTCTATGTTGATATCATTTAGAAAAATATGAAATATTGAAGGGGTATTCTTTTTATTTTTTTTTTCACTTATTTTCCAAAAAAAAATAATAAATATGTATAATTTATTAGTTTTATATTACTTACATAATTTGTATATCTCATATAAAATATATTTTTTTTCAAACTATTTCACAAAATATACACACTACGAGTTTGGTTTGTTATTATTATTATTATTATTTTTTCTTTCTTTATCTTCATAATTATATACATATGCATGAACTTGCTAATTATGCAAATACCAAAATTTACATATGTTATATATTGAATTGATTAATTTTTTTCTGATCAGAAAGATCAAGAGTTTTAATATATTAATAAATAAATAGAATATTGAGACTAAATAAACCAAAAAAGTCATTCAAGCAGCTCAAGTGCTGTTTTGATTTAATGAATACAAAATACGTCAGCAATATATTTTAATTTTATCAATGGAAATATAGGGATCCAACTAGAAGTTTTTAAATGCTACTTTGCTCCGGGCTGTCCATATGCAATAAACTAATTGAAAGGAATTAATTAATCAAATTATAAAAAAAGAAACTGAAATGAAATCAGAGTTAAGTTAGTATTATCACAAATATGACCCGATACCATTCTATCATTCAATTATCATCTACAAAGGCACCATTTTCACTAATATTTTGGAGAATTCATTCATTTTCTTCAAATAGCACAAATTTAAAGTTTTATACTTTTCGGATGCATATACGAATGACCGTCTCACCTGAAAGCTCGAACTATTAGAAAAACACAATTATTAATCATATATTCGAAAACGGGAGTCCCAATAATACTCAAACTGAATTTTTGAAACTAAATACCATAAAACATGGAAAGAAATTGCACTCCACAAAAATTAAACTAGAAGAAGATTAATAAATTAAACTAGAAGAAGAATATTGCTATCAAATATTCATAAATTGAATTTTCAAGATGTGCTATATTATTATTATTATTATTATTATTATTATAATTTCTATTTATAGTAGTAGAATAATAAGATAGTAGAATAGATTTTCTGTGTGAGGTGAATATATGAATTATCTTCAAACGTGGAATAACAAGTTCAATAACATATGAGATTTTTTATTACTCCCTCCGTCATCAAAATCTGTGTTCATTCCCTTTGTATTTTACAAAGGAAGTGAGCACAAATTTCAATGATGGAGG